TGTCTTTGCTCTCCCATGCCATCACTTTCTTCTCATCTGTGGTAACCACTTGGTAAATTTTTGTCCTTCTGTACCATAGAGTGGCATTCGGCTTTAAAGTAGTGGGGATATCCTTTATGTATTGATGGAAAATGAAGTGTAAATGCTTGTGGATGTTTAGAGTCTCTGAGGTGATATAGTCAAAATTCTGGGGCTGGCAAGATGGCTGAGCTGGTAAATGAACCTGCCGCCAAGTCTTATGTCTAAAGTTTGATCTCTCAGGGCTGCATGGTAAAAGAAAGAACTGACTGAAAATTGACTCTGGCCTCCACACAGAAGGCTGATACATGTAGACATACTCACACACTGGTACAAAATAAATAAGTAAATATAATAAAACATTCAATCTCTTAAAAAAAGAAATGAGGAAAATTGAGTGAACAGGGTGTGTTAGGAACAGGTAGATTACTTTTTACTAGGTCGTCTTTTTGCTCATTTTAAGTTATGTCTCTTGATTTCAGTTTGTTAAACTGAGATTGTGTTTCTCTATTTTTCAAAGATTTCTTCTATCTATGTGTGTGTGCGTCTGTGTATATGTCTAAGCACATGTATGTGTGGGTACCTGCCAAAGCCAGAAGAGAACATTAGATCCTTTGGAGCTGGAGTTACAGATGTGTGCTATGATCTGAACTCTGGTTTTCATGATCAAGTGGTGAGGACTCATAACCTGTGAGACGTCTCTCTAGCCCCTGTTGAACATAAGTGGTAGGAAAGGGTAAGGGGTTTACTGTGCCTTTGCATGGCCCTTCCTTTCTTATTTTGCTAAACATATCTCCCCAGCCGCCAGCTTTGGCTTCTGCTAGTTACCCCAGTCATCTCCACAGACCACGTCTGGGGCTCCTGACTCAGGGGTGTGCAGGTATTAGAGAAACAAATGGATTTGGGGGGAGGTTGCTGTGACAGCGCTGTCCTTGGTGTCATCCTCTTCTGGTCCTTGTCCTCGTTGTACTCTTTAATTCGAGGTTGATTATAAGAGGGGCAAGGCAGGGAGACATTTGTAAAGTCGTCCGTGGGTGAGATGCTACAGAGCGGCGACAGGTGCTAGGCACGTGAAGATGGGCCAGCATTTCTGGGCTTTGCCGGAGGACCAGCACTTCTGTTCCACTCAGGCTCTTGTAGGCCTTAATAATTAATAAGGCTCTCTGTCTCTCCGGAGTTAGATTGATCCTCAGCCACTGAAGGGAAACAAATGGGAGTACTTTGTGCAGGTTGGAGGGTGCACACAGCAGATGAATTAGCAGCGCAGCCCTGAGCCTTGGCAATGCTCACGCCCTGCTCTAACCACCGTAACTTCCTTCTTTCTGCATAATCAGCTTGTGGAAAGTGTGAGAATGCCAATGTGCTTTGTTAATAACTAGAGTGTGGCATGAAGGGTTTTAAGTATTTCCTTCCTTGCCTCTTTTGGTTTTCTTCTCTACTAAAAAAAAAAGTCCCACAACTTTTGTTTGATGGCGATCTCAACATCATTTCAGGATTTCAGGGTTTATCTGACAGAGGCCTGTTTCCATGTAGCCATATCTTGCGATTTTTCTTCATCCTCATTTATCTTTTTAGAATTAGCTTGTGATTAGGCAGCAGGATGAGTATAATGGTGTTAATTTTGCTGAGACACAATTTTCATTTTAGGGGCTGGGTCATGGAGACAGTCTTTACTATATAGTGCAGGCTAGCCTATATCCTCCAGTCCATCCTGAGTGCTGGGATTTCAGATGGACACCATCGCAGCCAATCTTAGAATTTACTTCTAAATATAAACAGGTTGAAAAAATACTATTTTTTTCTTTTACTGTATATGTGTGTGTGTGTGCACGCACATGTGCACATGCACATGTGCCTCAGTGTGTGTAGAGATCAGGACACAGTGTGGTAGCATTAGTTCTCTCCTTCGACCTTCGTGTAGGTTCTAGGAATAAAATTAGGGTTGTCAGTTTTGCACAGCAAGCTCCTTTACCCACTGAGCCATCTCATTGGCCCCAGTTTGCTCTTTAGGTCTGTAATGTTGTCACTGATTTCCTTTTATGTTGATCCAGTAGCCATGTAGATACCTCATCTGCTCATAAAGAAAGGTTACTAAGAACATGAGTAGACACAGAAAGACAAGAAGTGTTTATTATAGATGTCTTGGTATATGCATACATATCTGTATATCTATCTTAAAACTTGAGTGCATAAAACAACCAAATGTTTTAAGTAAAAGTAAACAGGCTTCATAAAAGAAGATAAATAAGTACATGGAAGTTTGTTCATCATTCAGAGACTTCTAGGAAGTGAAAGTCATTCCACGTTAGTTGAAGAGAGATGAGGAACATGAAATGTTGGCAAGGATATAAGCAGCCAACTCCTAGGAGAGTCTCCAACTTGAAGAACTGTTGGGCATTGTTATTAAGTTTAATATGCACCTACTCCATAGTCAGCAATTCTGCTCTGTTTCCATTAGAAAGAAGTGAAAGCGTGTGAATTGTAAAGATTTCATGCAGCTGTATTTTATTACTAATAGTGTAAAACTGCAAATAGCCCTGATGTCCAGGGATAGGAGGATGGATTAGCAAAGTGTGGCAGTAATGAGGACCCACCCACTGGTACATGTAACACCAGTGAGTCTGAAGGGCATTATGCCACATAAAAGCCACCAACCACACACGAGTAAATCCAGACTGTCCTATCTGTGTATAGTTCAGAATGAGGCGAGCCTGGTGAAAGTAATCAGAAGGGTGTTTGCTGGGGACAGGAAATTATGAGAGGATTTTCCAGAATGTAAATGTTCTGTGGTGGACTGAGGGACACAGGGCTGTGCATTTGCTCAAACTCATGGAAGACAAATAGCACTCTGTATTTTACGGTGTTTAAGTCTGGGGGGGGGGAGCGGTGAGAAAGAACTCAAGTGATTTCACCCTCCTGTCCACTCTCAGTTCATGACTCCTAGAATGGCTCAAACTGCTTAGCCTTCACTGGAACAGAGACACACAGTTCTGCTTCGCTTCTTTTCTTTTCTTTCCTTTCCTTTCCTTTCCCTTTCTTTCTTTCTTTCTTTCTTTCTTTCTTTCTTTCTTTCTTTCTT